TCCCCTTTATTGAAAAGGCTAAAAGAGTATTATCTATTTTTCCAGAAATCTGACAACACGTCAAACTTATTGTTGCATTTGCAGTAAGAGTCGCATCTTCTCATCATGGGAGCTTTTGTGAACGCATGTCGGAAGTTAATGGTTAGAATAGTGCTTTTTTTTTTATCAATATGGCTGAATATCCCTCCTTATCAAATGAGCAGCTAAAATCAATATAGACAAACACAGAAACTCATAAGCAGGTGATCAAAGACTATGTGGTCATTTCACCAAATGTCAAGGCTGCAATATAGCACTGACAGAGCCAGAAAAAAATGGCCTGTTTTGGGAAATCTTGGAGACGGTTGTAGGGACTCCAAGGGGGAAAAAAAATAGATGTGTAGATGTCTTTCATTTCATATGCAGAACAGAATAGTGTATTTCATAAAAATAAACAAACATTACTTAAATTGTTTGTCCCATAATATTTATTTTATATCCTATTGTCTAAAACGTGTATATATTTTCCACCTTTGCTCTCTAATCATCCCCTAGGTAGCTGTTAAGGCTCAGATCCAACTGGTGATGTCATGCATTCCTTTCACAAGCACATAATGTGGACCAGGTGTGTCCATAATTGTCAACCTCCCCTAATTCCCTTAGGTTTGATTGGGTGCACTCAACCTTAACGCTTCAAAAAGATGGCAGCTCTCGTGTGGCATGTCATAGGCCACAATTATTAAAAATAAATAAATAAATATATACACACACATATACAGGAGCTCTCTTAATAGTATTTTTACTATTACTAAATGCGCTATTAATGTTTGTTTTTAAAGTAGAATTATAAACCTCTGCCATATTTAATGCAAATTTCATACATAAATTTTAGATCTTATAGAGGCTCTTTCATTAAATACACTTGGATAAAGAAAGAGCAAGATAACTTTTTACTGTCCAAAATTGCAATTATCTTATAAAAAAAAAAATAATGATAAATATATATATATATATATATATATATTTACATACAGACACACACACACACACACACACACTTAAAAGAGATTCCTATAAATTACTTGGAATGTAATCTTGGTATTTGTGCGCTCATTTGTGAATTTTTCAGGACAACAAAGCAGATCCTATTATTTAATGTAAGGATTTAGACACACTTTGCTCTTATCTCAGATTTCTGCATGTAAATTTGAACTTGCATTTGACACATTCCTGCTCTGCAGTTTTATTATTTGCCAGTGCTGTTTAGAACACAAGACATGGGCTGTTAGTGTATTTCATTAGGCTGACTGAAGGCCAGGGTATACAATGACAAAGCTGCATGGATTAACTGTGGATCAGGGATAAACTTATTATGGAGCATGTACATCCAGATTATACCCCTCTCATATGGCATTATGTAGCAGGATGATCCTTCTCTACTAGATCTCCTTTCTCTCCAAAGACAGTTCAGAGATGGGTCGTTTGTGCCTCAAATGCACATTTAATCCATGTGCCCCAAATCTATTTTTTTTTCTTACTTGGTCAAGTTAAGATTTATCTTATTATTGTTGTTGCTATGGAACGTTAGAAGCGTTTTCTTTTCTATAAATCAGGCTGGACACGTGCCCCATATTAGACACTTTTTTCTAATTATTCGCAGTTTTGTGAATACTATATTTTGTGAAATTAGCTCTGTAAATTCAGGATTTGTCATGAATATAGTACTTTAATTATAGTATTGTACACAATGCCAGTACCCATTTATATGTGCCAACTTGTCTAGTCGAAAGACTCTGAATAGGGCTGTGTTCCATTGGTTTTCTGTAGTGACCAAATCCTCATTTTCCACAGTTGTACAACAGAAAAGCATGTGTCCAGTGTTTTTCTATCACTACACACACATAATAAGTATGATTGGTGTTGTAGTGCTTTAGTTATGTTCTGCCACATATTGTTGACAGTCTGTGATTTGATATCCAATATCCAATTCCTTTCATGTGTTGGGTGCTGCTCTAGCCTGTATATTTTTATTTCTGAATATCAGCAGAACTATAATCTCAAAGGCATAATACATTATTTTCCAACTTTTTCCACTTCTGATGTACACGTACACCAGCCCTCAATATGATGAATATGTCCCAATGAAATGCATTGGTAGTGCAATTTCGCATCTTACTTTAAAGGGGAACAGTCACTTTTTATGTTTGTCAAAAAAATTGTTAAATAAAATCTACAAATCGACACCCTATCCTGGAGTTAAACCCTTTCATATTAACTCTAACAATCATTGATAGAAGTTTGGCACCTTGCACCTGTCAATCAGCACAGGGAGAGAGAGACGAAAGTGTTTTGTTCTAAAAAGTTGTCTACAGTACTAAAAGTGGGGCAATCGCCATGGAAACCAATGGAACCAGCAGTCACATTCCATTTTTGCATCTCATATTAGATCACAACACTTTGAAAAATCCCCCTTTATATTTTTGTCTCTCCTCCGCCGAGGCAACGTGTGCCCTAAACAGGTCTAGAATGTCAATTGCTAGCTCTGTTTTCTATCAAATGTGCATTATATATTTAACACAGGTTATAGGTGATTTTCAATGTTTTATTCAATGATCTATTTATCCAGAGTAGTGATGGTATCCATCTAAGGAGATTGAGAATCAGCCAAAAGATTAATGAGGAGCTGTCCTTGATTTAGTGACAGATGCATTTTTACTTACCTGATAAACACTGTTTTCCTTACACTCTTACTAGCACATATTTTTGCAAAATCTTGACCATACATTTGAATATATGCCCATAGGCTGTTGGATTTTTCTACACTGCATTTTAGTGTTGCATTAAAACCAGGATTTGGAGGAAATCCAATACGTTTGAAAGCAAAGCTTTTTTTTTCTGATTTATTTTATATTTTAGGCCAATTAGAATAAAGCTAGGAGCAAGTTTCACACTGTAACCAGAAAATTAGCAGACTGGAATTAATATACAAATGCTCTTTTTTTCGGCTTTAAATTGCACTTTGTACAGTACAAAGGGAAATACTTTATGATGATTTATAACCATGCATTAATATTATATGTGCTCCTTTATATTAGATCAACTCATTTTAAACATAACATTTGTAAAAAAAAAATTGTATTGAGGAATGTAGTGATTTATGTTTTATGTTGGGTGTTTACAGGTTTTATAAAGCATTAGCTTACATTCCAATCCAGATGTTCATTTGAGAAAAGAACATTCTGACTTGCATATTGTGTGAAAATGTTCAATTATTAGTCAAACTACTGAGCCAATTTTTTTTTTACATTTTTCATATATATTTTAAGAGTTTTACAGGAATCAAAAAGGAAAAAATAAATAAGTAATAGAAGCACCAATTATACCAGCGAGAAACACAGGTCCAATGATATGGGCAGCATAACCACTCCACAGATAGCCTATAGTGCACATATGAACTGCAGTTTAGAATAAGCTAACTAATGTAAAATCCATACAATATTTAAATGTCAGTGCAGACAAGGATTAGTTTGTGAATTACTATAAGAAGGTAAGCATGGAGCGCAATAGTCATTCATTGAGGAGGTATAGCAGCTGATCTTAAATGAAACAACAATCATCTACCAAAAACCCTTCTGCCCCACTGCATCAGATTCAGTTTGGTCTTGTCAACAATTGTGTCCTAAATAGCAAAGAAACCCAAGGACAGAACCCATACAGTTAATGTATCAGTCTGATTGCAAGGATAATGGGAGGATGGACAATTCTAAAACTTTCTAGCAGGGTGTAATGATTAATTCAACCAGGGATCCCATGGGCGAGTTAGGGGGCAATGTAGAGAAGCAGTGAGACAATCCATTTCTATAGAATCCTTTAATTAATTAGAGAGATATCTTTTTTTTTTTTAATTCTTTATTTTTGGTTCAACACCAAGTACCACTGACCAACAAGAAGTGGCCCTCGCAGGGGCCTGTCTGTAACATATACTGTAGGTCGTTATACAGAGAAGATTAAAAGGTATGTCGGAAAATCCGGTTGTAGTGGGCCTTTTGGTGCCGTTTTTCAGTTTTCGGGCCATTCCGGTCCCTTGATCAAACATGAACAAAAACTAGTACCTTACATTGCGTATTACATTTATAAATCATAAAACCGTTAACATATTACATTCCTAACTTCCGTCAAGCTGTTTCGTCATAGTTTTGGTCGTCTGTACGTCACTCTTATTGGTTCTTACTTTGGAGTGCCCTGTTTGCTTGTTAACTCATCTGGGTGGTGTCTTACTGTGTTGGCTACGGGCTTCTTGTATGTCTGTCTCTTTAGGGGGTATCCGCCTAGGTTCGAGTTGGGTGTTGCTCCCCCCCTGACAGTCTCCTTTGGGCTGTTGGAGGCCCTTATTTGGTGTATATCCCCTATTTGGGCTGCTTCCCCAAGGGACTGGTGTCCAGATCGGATGTGTGTGGAGGCCCGTCGTCCTCGGCACACGTTTATTGTGGCCGTTTACTACGAGTGCTTTGTTATGTTTTTGTTTCCTAGTTGAGTCACTTTATTTGTGTCAGCTGTGACTCCAGGCGACCGCGTCAGCCGGCTTTCTTTTGATTTGGAGTCTCGTGTGGTTGGTGGTTTAAGAGTTGGGGAGGGGGGGGGGCTACTGGGTGGTACTTTGGGGTACTTTGAGCGGGAGGAGGAGGGGAGGTGTGCGTTGTTCTTTGGGGCGCCCGGCGGGAGAAGGTCCACCGAACCGCTACGGACCTTATTCAGGTTATATAGTGTCTTCGTTAGCGTATGCTTCCCAGGGATGCCAGATTTTTAGGAATGTTTTTTCCGTATTTCTAATTTGTGCTGTGAGTTTATCCATCAAATATGAGTCTTTGATTTTAACTATCACATCGTTGTCTGTGGGGACTGTGGGTTTAAGCCACACCTGCGCGAGGGCTCTTCTCGCAGCCAATGTGAGTTTGTTTAAGAGTTGTTGTTCCTTCCTGGGAAGGCCGTCCGTTGGTCAGGACAGTAATATCGCCCAGGGATCTAAGTCTATGTGTCGTGCAAGAACCTCGTTCAATAATGTTTGAACCCTTTTCCAGTATTTGGTCACTTCAGGGCATTCCCACCACATGTGAACAAAGGTGCCTTTGCCCCCGCAACCTTTCCAACATGTGTCTGTCGAGGTTTTCCCCATCTTATGGAGTTGGACCAGTGTTGTGTACCACCTCATGAGCATTTTATAGGATTGTTCTTGGTGTAATACGCAAATCGACGTTTTGGCCGTCGCTTCCCATATATCAACCCAGTCCTCACCCTCTAGGGCCCCCCTAGGTCCTCTTCCCACTGGTGTATGTATCTTGGGTCTACGGCTCCCTTTTCTGGGGCACTCAGCTGCGCATATATGGTCGTGATCAACCCCTTTTGAGTAGTTTCTGCGTTACACATTTGTTCATAAAATGTCATGGGGGTTTGTGCTGCTTTTTTGATATCTGGGTTTTTGGCAAAGTCTCGCAGCTGTACATATCGGAATACGTCTTTGGTTGTCAGGGGCGCCATGGCTTTTAGGGTGTCAAAGGTTTTGAAGGAGTCGCCGTCATACATATGTCCGTATCTTTGCATTCCCGTGTATTCTATCCCCCTAAAGTCTTGTGCGGTCAGCCCGGGTTCAAATGCTTTGTTCCGTAGGTATGGTGTCAGCGGCGAGGGTTTATGTTTTAGTGCGTATTTGGTGGCTGTTAAGTCCCAGATCCTTATGGAGTTAAGGATCGCCGGACAAGAGGTGCGTAAGGACGGTCTATCTTGTTTGGGTACCCATATCCAGAATTGTGGAAGGTCCGTACACATAAGTTTTGTCTCCAGGTCCACCCACCTATGCGAGCCCTCCGGGGTGTGCCATGCTATTATTTGGGCTAATTGCGCCGCCAGGTAGTATTGATACAGGTGTGGGAGTCCCAGTCCGCCCTTCGCTTTCGGTCGGTACAATACTTGTCTAGCGATCCTATGTCTTTTCTGCGCCCAAATGAAGTTATCTATGTGTTTCTGGATTGTCTGTAGGTCTTGTTTAGTGACTTTGGTGGGTAGGGCCTGGAACAAGAACAGTAGTCGTGGGAGTAGTGTCATTTTTATTGCATGCTGTCTGCCAATCCACGATATGGGCTTTTCATGCCATTTTTCCAAGTCGCGACAAAGCGCCTGGATTGTGGGCGGGTAATTGGCGCTGTATAGTTTCGCCGGGTCCGCAGTGAGTTTAACGCCGAGGTATTTAATTTCCGATCTCGTAAGTTTGAGGGGATAGGTGTTTTTAATGTCCTTAAATACTATCTGCGTCCATTTCTATTGGCATGGCTACCGATTTTTCTAGCTTTATTTGATAGCCTGAGATGCGTCCGTTTTCCTCTAGGAGGGTCATAAGTCAAGGCAGGGATTCTCTCGGGTTGGTGATCGTGACTGGGACATCATCCGAGTATGCGGAGACTTTGAATTCGTCATCCCTTGCTTTGACCCCAGATATGTGCCTGTCCTCCCTTATCCTCTGTAGGAGAGGTTCCAGCGAGAGGACGAACAGCAGAGGGGAGCCTTGTCTAGTGCCATTAGCGGGCGTAAATGGGGTCGGGGTTGCTCCCTGTACGTTGGTCTGGGCCATCGGGTCTGTGTATAGGGCTTTTATACCTTTAACGAAGTTTTCTGGCATGTGCAGGCGTTCTAGGAGCGCAAAGAGGTAGCACCATTGCACCCTATCGAACGCCTTCTCCGCGTCCAGGGATAGGATCAGAGAAGGCGTCCGGGTCCGCGTCGCCCACCATATGAGATCCGCACCTCTCCTTGTATTTTCATACAGTTGCCGTGCCGGTACAAAGCCGACCTGGTCTGGGTGTACTATGTTGCCCAGGAGGAGGTTTAATCTTGTTGCAAGTATTTTTGCAAAGATTTTTACGTCGTAGTTAATTAAGGAGATGGGTCTGTAATTTGCTGCTTCGGTTGAGTCCCGTCCTGGTTTGGGTATGAGTGCGATGTCAGCTGTGAGCATGTCCGGGTTTGGATGTCCACCGTTCATCCATTCGTTGTACATCTTCGTCAGTCTCGGTGTCAGCACTTCTCTAAATGTTTTATAGTAGGAGCCGTCGAAGCCGTCCGGTCCTGGGGCTTTATTACCCTTAAGGGCCGAGATCGCCTTGTCTACCTTCTCCTCCCCAATGGGTGCCCCCAAGGCAATCAGGGCCGCCGGGTTCGGTTCCGTCATATTCGTCTTGGTTACGTATTCGGTTACGTCATGGGTGTATTCCCTTTTTTTACTGCTTAGTTCTGTGGAGTGGTTATATATATGTGATAGGAACTCCGTGAAGATCTGATTGATCTCCGTAGGGTTGTGGGTTATCTGACCCTGTTTGTCTCGGATCGCCGAGATAGTTTGAAAGTGGGGCTTGGGGTTTAGTGCCCTAACCAGTAGGGTGTCCATCTTGTTGGAGCGTTCGTAGTAGAGGCGTTTTTTACGAACTAGGTCACGCCCGAGGTCCTCAACTGCTGTTGTCCTGATTCTATGGCGGAGGTCTCTAAGGTCTTGGAGGCCCTGTGTCGTGGGGTTGCGTTTATGGTTGGCTTCTGCCCTCCTCAGCGCCTTTTGTAGCTCGAAGAGGGTTTCGGCCCTTTGCTTTTTGCGACGTGTTGCGAGTTTAATGAGGGTACCCCGCAGTACCGCTTTGTGAGCGGCCCATATCGTGGATTGCGTTAAGTCCGGGTTGTCATTGTCATCAAAATAGGCCGTGATTTCGTCCACTAAAAGTTTCTCCGTTACTGGGTCTTTTATAAGTGTGCTGTTTAATCGCCATTTCCATGGGGGTTTGGGACCTGGGAGTCTGAGGGTAAACTCTACGTCGGCATGATCCGACCAGGTAATAAGGTTGATGCGTGCAGATTGAACCCATGGGATCCCTGTTTGGTTGACTAAGAACATGTCTATGCGGGAGTATGTAGAGTGTGCTGCCGAGAAGAACGTGTAGTCCTTCACTCCTGGATTGCGTAGCCTCCAGGGGTCTAGTAATTTCGTGTTCTGTATGAATTTGGTCAAGAGTTTGTCCTGGCCCCTCGTGATCTGCGTCTTGTGGCCGCTGGTCGGGGCGCTGCGGTCAACTGTGTGGCAGGGTGTAGCATTTAGGTTGCCCCCTAATATTATGTTTTCGTACGGTAGGGTATGGATTAAATTGTGAAGCTGTTCCTAGAACTCCGGATCTGGCTGGTTAGGTGCGTATATATTAATCAGGTGGTACGTGGTGGCGTGTATTGTCCCCGTGAGGACAACATACCGGCCCATAGTGTCTGTGCGCGTCGTCTGGGTGACAAAGGGGCATTTTTTGTGTAGAAGTATTTCTACTCCGTTTTTTTTTGCCATTGCTCTGGAGGAGTATGTCCTGGTAAATAGATGTCTGTCAGTTGGATCCGGGCTGAGCGCAGGAGGTGCGTTTCCTGTACAAATGCTATTTCGTTTTTTTGTCTTTTTAATTCATTAGAGAGATATCTTGACGAGATTCATGCCATGGTTCTTTTCACCGCTTGAATTACTTTGGCCACTTATTTATTTTCCACGTGTAAATTGCCATATAACGATTTGTGGATTAGAAGTTTTTCAGCTCAAAGGAGACAGCTTTCTCTATGACACTTGAGAACCATTATGCTACTCGTATCCAGAAGAGGCGTTCCCACGAAACATGACGATGATAACCACCCTCTCCGCAGTTTTGATGGTAATTCTCCCTAGATTGTAAACATGGGTCAGATATTACCTCTAACGTCTTGTAGGCCTGTTCTTTAGGTTCACGCATATGCCCTCCCAGTCTTGTCTTTTTAAAACAAAGGTCAGGTCATTTTCCCACTTCCTAAATTAAGATATTTTCAGGGAAAGATTTAGACATATAGCCATATATGGAAAAAATCTAGACTATTTGAATATTGGCATGTAAGCAAGTGCATAGAGCCAGACAGAGAAGAAAACATGTGTTTTTACTTCAACCTGAATTGCTAAGTGATGTAACTGTACAATAGTGTTTACGTTGAGAGTTCAGAAGAAGATCGTATGTACATGTTCCTGTACAGCTGAATATACATGCATGCTGAAAAGCTTTTAAGTCTTTAGGCTACATGCCTGGGTTGAATGGTTGATTAAGGAGAAAGAGCATAAGGAGTGAAATGTAATGTGCAATGTTTAATTTATGTGCAACTTTATCCCATAACTTCAGAGAGACGAAAATTGCAGAACGGGTGGGAATGGGTAGAGGCTGATGGCACCCAGATATACAGGGACAGGAGATTTTAGTTAAATACAAAAGAGTCCTCCTTGCCTACCGATCTTCTTTTTACCCCACGATTAGCATGCAATTCCTGCACCTGCAACAACTGGGCCACATATTAGTAGACGATGTTGAGTAGTCCCAGACCTCCTATTTTGAGTCTTGGTCTAGATAAAGAAATCCACTTTATCAGAATTGCCCAACATTATGGAGTAATAAATTAATCTTAATTTTAGCAACATGGACCAGTTATATGAGTTGCCTAGATTTGACAGGCAGGTAGTTTAGGGAGTGTAATTGAGGTAAGTCGAATGAGATTGCAGTATCTAAAATGTAATCGAAGGTTTATAAAGGGTGATTTAAGACAGTAAGAGGTCATTGAATGACAATTGTAATTTACTGGGAATATATAAAGTTATTTTTAACATGCCTTATGTATATATATCCATCGGCATGCTTATACTACAGCAAATAAGAAAGGTAGTGATGTAAAGCAGTACAGTCACATTATATATTAAAAAAAACTATATATATATACATTAAGAGTGAGATAGTGTAGATATATAGATGGTTCAGTTGCCATTTGTGTGTTGTTTGATATATATAAAATGTCCATCATAAAATAAGTTGTTTTTCATTGCTCTGTACTGTATCACAAGAGTGAGATTTTCTTTCCAGTAAAAATGCATTTGCACAGAACCTCCTGTGATTAAGATTGGTTCTTAATGCCAAGGCTTTTACTGCTACTTGAGGGACCAATATCCATAGTGACTGAATGAGAAATCTGGAAACATTTCCCCTGTCACCAAACCACAGATCAACCTTGTTAAAAGATTCATTTCTTGAATGTGACATTCCCCCAAATTGTGTGTGTGTGTGTGTGTCTATACAGTTGCTCATCAACATTCAAAGTGAAACTTTATGCTAAATAACCACTTAACCTCATTTAACACAGTTTAACATTGAACAGTGGGTTGGCATCAGGGACCATAACCACTCCAAACTTTTTACCACTAAATGAGCGTATTAGGTGCATGCAACCCGTCCTCTCTATGTTTCGGCATTAGACAAACCAGCAATGGGCAGATAGCATTTGCTGCCTGCTCTTACCCTATTACTGACGCTCACTTCTAGTATAAATTTCTGTGGCTATTAATGTTGAATTACAATTTGTCGTTTGCAGCGTCGCTCATTTTTCCTGTTTATGGTAGAAGGGAAAAAAAAGGTTTTTTTTTTTATAAATACTAATATTTTAGATGCAATGATTGTGGGATATCAAAGGTGTTGTTTTATTTATTTTTCTCCCACAAATAGTTCATCCCCATGAGCTACAACAGTCGCTAAATTATGCTAACCCCACATTTGATTATAATGTTATTTACCTATTCATCGCCTGTTATACAGTCTTTTTATTTCTTTATTTTAAAGTCTCTGGCTATAAGAAAGATGTAATAAGTTATAAAGTGGAGAAGGGCATATTTCTTACATGAGAAAAGAAAAGCAAGTATTTATTCCTTTCTGCCCTTGTGTGTGTTTTATACGATGTTATTGGGATGTTTTTCCCAGTACGGTTGGCTCTGTGGGTCACATAAGAACCTCAAAGCTCCACTGGGTAATGTTAGAAGCGCGAGAGCGTGGCCTGCCAGAAACTGTTGTGTGACCAGATGTTTGCCTGCACAGTTATGCTCTACGGAAGCCTGAGGTGGAATGTTGAATAGCTAAAGACTTTCATGGTGGCACTCCAGCTGCTGATCAGAATAATTGCTATGTACAAAGGGATACTTGGACTGTCTACGCCACATTTGTATGTAAGGAGCACATTCTGCATGCAGATTAGCCAGGCATTTATTATTTAAAATGTAAAAAATAAATATGCAAAATTGGAATTTGCACGTAATTTAAAAAAAAAAACTTCTAAACCCTGTCAGTGATTGTAACCTATATAGATCAATGTATTTAAAGCAAAACTGTCAAGTGTTTACTGGGGTGAATAATGCAAAATAGATAAAAGGGGGGACACTTATCTGCGCCGCTTTTCATATTCAGGGTGACTTCACTTTTCCATGATGCCTTAGGGGTGCGCTCATGCACGTAGAACGTTTGGGGATCTGCAAAGAAATGGCATGCAAGCGCATGTGCCCTCAGGCATTCATTCTCTAGTGCAATATTCACTGGTGGCATTATAGAGGTTGATGTAATTTACATACCACGCCGTTGGTGATCATTTAAAAAATAAATACATTGCACAGCAAGATACATTGTAGCTCTTAGCGCGTGCACAAAAAGCTAAAGTGACAGCTCTGTCCTAATATTGACAAACATTAGCTTCACACCTTTGTCAGAATGGAGACAATGCTCAGAGATGTTCTTCAAACTGACAGCCATCCCATCACAGCATGATGTTGCCAGATCCTATTTTGTGTTTGTAGGGCTCTCTACCTATTTAGACTTTTACTGCAGTTTATGAAAAGTAACTGTGATACTTTATCATTTCACAGGAAGCATCCTCAACCCCCATTGTACCTGCAGGCATAAGTATGGTTTGTGCTGGTTAAGTTGTACAGTAATTAAAATGTAATGCAATAAAATTCTAATATTTTTTCCCCTACACGGACGAGATATGAGCATCCTTTCTTACGCCAGCACCTGTGGCTATCTTCAGCTAGAGGCGGTTGTCCCTAGCAGTTATATCGAGTTAGTAATAGTGATGTAAATTCTGTTTGTGTTTTATTATTTAATTCAGGGATCACACACATGTGCTGGAACTAAGCAAATACATGCAACATCTTTTTTTTTAAATTCTTTCTTTTATTTTGGTAGTGACCTACACATTTGTAATAACGTCAACACATAGTGTTTAAAAGCAAAACAATCTGAAAGACAAGCCCAGCCATTAGTTTGGTCTTATTGGTGTCAAACATCGGTGCATATTGTTATAACAAAGTTATGTGATACATTCTGTTTTATGAACCTCTGGTCCAAATTTGTCCACGTTTGTCAAATGTTCCTGTGTCGCTGTTGGACCAACTCAAACTGTATTATTCAAAGAGGTGGGAGAGGAAAGTAGAGTTAGAAAGAAGAAAAGAAGATAGATAACAGAAGAGAACGAGTCCCGGGGGGGTTTACGTGTAACTGTCGAGTGTGGGCTTAGTCAGGGTGTTTGGGTTTTAAGAGTACATGCAAGATGTTTTAATGTTAATTTAATTTATTTATTGGGTCCACGTGTGTGCCTTTTACATATTTTATGTTTATTCTACCCGTACTCTTTTCAGATAACCACTATCCTGAAGCATTAACATTACTCCTCTTACATGTATTTTATTCCTAAGTCAGGCTTATTCAAGATACTTTTATATACCCTGTACTTATACCCAAGTTGCAGTTCAGAGAGAATGAAGTCATTTTTCTTATGGATGTTAAATATATTGTTACAAAGCATTGGACTCCAGAGTGTTTTTGCGTCTTTTGGCAATTCGTCTTTAAGTGGAGCCCATTGTCCAACGCCAGTTCTCAATGTAGAACTATGAGCAGTGTTTGATTCAGTCTTTGTCAGCACGTAGGGTTAGGAATTATTAAAACGCCTAGCAGCAGATTATGGCATTGTTCATCTTCAGCCCTCAGCCTTTCCAACCAGGAGCTGCTGAAGTGCAGCTTCTGCTAACAACTATTTAAAGTAATATCTGTACTTTTATTGGACTCTGGGTGTTGCAAATTACAGGCCAGACAGGGAAGTAGATTACCTTTTGTTAAAATAGTAATAATTTACAGTGTGTCTTTACAATACCCAAAACATGATGTAAACAGGGCCCTTGTTCTTCTGAACCTAATTAATCTGAGATGGAAAGGCTACGGTAGAATTGAGGTAGAGCACTAGGAGAAAAAAAACCTGAATAAAGGCAATGGTTCTGGGTTTTTAAGCAGTGAGTGATACCTCGTCTAGCAGAGTTTAGATCCCTTAGGAAAGTCCTTTGTATTTAATGTACAGCAAGCTGCCAGCAAGATAGACATTGAAATGCCCATTTATTTAACTGTAAGCTCTGCAGAATATGGAGCTGGTGAGCATTGTATGTTTATGAGCTTGTAAGGCAGGTGCTGCATATGTATTAAGTTTATATGCCAAGAGCTAGGTAATCGTCAAGGGAATATACCCTGTTCTTTCCCACCTGCCAACATCACACTCCCCAACACACACACCCTCCTCCAATCTCTTTGTCACTTTATCTTACTTAGCCTTGTGCATTCATCTAACAAACGATGTGGCCTCAAGTACTGGGACTAAGGGATCTCTCGCTAATTATTCCCTTGACATCAAGAAAAGAGAAAAGTAAGAAGGAGAAAGGGAGAGAGGGGTGTAGATAGATGAGCTGAGAGAGACAGAAACATGTAGCCACAATCACAAAGACCTACTGACATGTTGCACCATTTTAGAGAGATTCCGTAAAGAGATGCATTATTGCGATATTCTAGTTCTTATGGGAAAAGGTTGTTTAACCCTTACAGTGCTGGGAAGCTCTGCTGCAATATTATTGTTTTTTGTTTTTTTCATTTTCTTAAAATGTGATCATCATTGAGACTGTTTCTAATATTTTTTTCTCTCTCTCTCTTTCTCTCTCCCTTTTTTCCGCCCGTGCCCCTCTTTCCATTTCTGTTTTGCAGCTAACAAGTCCCTGTTGGGAGGAGGAGGAGGTATCATAGTCTCTGTTTGTCTTGTGTTCCCTGTTTGACACTCTGCATTCTACATACACAGCTGTCCATTAAATGTAGATATCTGTTGCTGTACTGAGCTGTATGTCTACCTGTTTGCTCTCTCTGGAAACCACAGCCACTTCTCACATTGGTGCAAATGTAAATATGTGTGAAAACTAAAAAAAATTCAAACTCGAAATTTGGAACATCAAAAACATACATTAGTTTTTTAGGATACTAATTAAACTACATTGTTGTAAATTTAAATTTTGGCAAATCTAAGTGACAATTTTATAAGAAATCTAAATCTGCTGGCTGAATTGGTGGCGCCAGTTTGAATAATGCTAACATTTTTGCACAATTTTGCAAATCTGCTCTTTGATTTTCCCATCATTCTTCCTCTATCTCAGTGGTTCCCAAACCAGTCCTCACACGCCCTACCAGTCCAGGTTTTAGGGATTACCCAGTTGTGTCTAAGGTGGTTTGTTTTGTGGGTTTTTATTTATTTATTTATTTTTCTTTTAAAAACACCTTAGATACAACTGGGTAATCCCTAAATCCTGGACTGGTAGGATGGGGCATGGGGACTGGTTTGAGAACCACTGCTCTATCTGAATTTGCTAGACATGGCTGTTGCATGATATGGGATGGTAAGGCATGTATAATACGAAAGTTATGTTGTCAACTGGTTCTAGAGAAATCATAATAAAAGGCAAAACTGAAGATTGAGTGATCTATAAATGTCTCCCGGACCTTGATTTGGCACTGTTTCCAGCAGTATATGATTCATCCTTGTATACCTCTCATATTTCATGGTTTGTAGATCTAGGGTTTCTTAAATCTTATGGCAACATATTACATGATTGTACTGGTTTTGTAATGTCTCATGTATTGTTAAATTTCCCCCCCTTTTAATAATATTGTAAAGCACTGCGGAATAAGTTGGCAAAAATAATAATAATAAGATAAAAGTAATCTGGAAGCTGTAATTTACATGGTTTGCACCAATGTTTCATAGCATTGGACATATCACGCAAACAGTATTCTAGTATTTTTCTAGTATTTTTGGTGTTGGAATCTGAAAAAGAAAAAATAAATAAATATGGAAAAATAGAGAATAAAATAAATAATGAGGCGGGCAGGTTAGTGAAATAAAGCGGGGGTGGGGGAAGAAACAATAAGAGCGCAGGTGATAGTGGGAAGAAAGGCTTGTTAACTGGGAACTTAGGCAGATGACTGCTTTGAACCTGAATAGTCCATGGCTCCCACACCTTCACTGCATGTTACTATATTGTGTGTTCTACAGTGAGTTACTCCTTAATATACATACAACATTTTGTTATGTTTTTAATGCATGGGATGACATCACTCACTGTGTACTATGGGACTTGAAAGCGTGGTCTTCCTGTCAAAATAGCAAGCAGATAACATAATATACCTTATTATTTATATTTTTAAAAATTGAGATACTGAAAATGACACTTATCAGACATATTACCTATTTTAGTTATTTTATATAGTTTTATCATTCCCATTTGTACCCTGTGCAGAACTACATGTCTTGGTATATGTCTGTGGACATTGATGCACCTTCATTAAAAATTGGTATCGCTTTCAAATGTAGCTGCTCTGAAAAATATCAAGTTGGCATTCCCTACATTAAAGGCTTCTCTGTAGATCATATTTTCCAAGGCCACAAAATGAAGAATAATTTCAAAATTCCCAGGTTTTTACCTGTACAATATCACTTTGCTATACATGGCTGTCTCTCATTCCTACACGGCTATCTTCCTAAGCACAGACCTTATGCTGCTTCCTCGTTGATTTATTGCATCTCTAAGTACCTGAGCTTAGAATTAATGGGATTGAAAAAGCAATTAAAAGAGTGAAGACAAACATAGAATGGAAAAGAGAGAGAGAGGGATAGGCCAAGTCAGGAGAGGTGGAGGGAGGGGGCAGGCAGCATGGAAAAGAATGATGGCTCTGGCTTGATAGAGATTGTACAAAACGAGAAATAGTAGAAAACCGAGAGCTGACGGCAAAATGGAATATTGGAGAGAATCTGCGTTACACAGGGATGACAAATTGGTGAGTGAGTGAAGGTCGGGAAGGATCAGTGGAGAGGAGAAGTAAAGCTCAAAAGGCAGAAATAGAGTGAATATGTGGGCTTTATCAGAACACATTGAAGTTATTAACCCTTTCTGGACCATGATTAAACAAACCTCCTTTCGGTCTGTCTTGCGGATCCAAATCTCACGTAGTGAGTGGAGTTGTGTCTGTAGGGTTGAGAGGGTGGTCCTCTTCATTCCCCCGGAGTATGCTGGGTTTTACTTTTGTGTCCATGTGGGTTCGTTTGTTGGTGTACCAGGCAAAGGGAGGTATCCCTGTGTGTTGTTCCAGTCCCCTTCGTTTGTGAGCAGCTTTTAGACTTCAGTTGATAATTTCCAAAAGTTTGTTAGCACAGTTACAGGTGTGCACTTTGTGTAGGGCTGCGAGGCATAGTTGAGGAAATAAAAATGTAAGTTAAAGCATACATTGAACATTGCTTCGCTATGGGTAGCAAGCGTAAAATCTTTCAACATAACATATTTAAACATTTAGGATATTCACATTGCCATCTAAGGCTTTTAGGTACCCGATACGTGTCTTATCTGTGCATGTAATACTGTGTGTCCGAGAATGGGTTGGTTCAGGGAGTCGTTGGCCTGCTGCTTAAGCTACCTTATCATTTGGGATATTCAGATAACCACATACCCAAGACTCTTAAACTCCTGCTCAGTACTAAAACTGTGCTATATATTCTGTGTGTCCTAGGCCGGGTGGACCCAATTACATGTTGGTGCACCCCACTGAGTGGTTAATCTGTTAAATAGTGCTGAGATTAAATAATGGCTACTGTGTCTCCGAGACCGGGTAGGGGATGTGTTGGTCCTCTATTTTGAAGACATGTACAGTCTGAGCGTTCATTCTATCGATTTACTTAGATACGCAAATACCTGAACAATGCAAAAACTAAACTATAGAACTAAACAACTTGCACTGTATGTCCTTGGCCTGGTATTCTCTGGGGCATATTGGCTCCCACTACAGTGTGGTTAAACATGTAAACCATGCTGTGCTTAACTAAGGAATACTGTGTTTTTGAGGCTAGGTTGGCTCAGGAATATGGTGGCCCTCCACATGAGATGTCTGGACCTTTGGGGCGTGCAGATTATCAAATTTATTACACACTCAAATGCCCTAACAATGCTATAATGAAACATGGGAATTAGACATTATGCACTGGGTGTCCTAGGCCTGGTAGACTCCGGGGCACATTTGCTCCCACCCCAGAGCCAGCACAGCCAGCTCCCCCCTGCAGCCGCCAGAACAGCCAGGAGCCAGCTCCCCCTGCGGCCGCCAGCAAACCTGACCCAGCTGTCTACCCTGCAAGACTCATGTCCGGTCGCCCACGGGTAGCTATATTATGTCTCAGTCTGTCAGTGTTTGTGTGTGTGTCTGTCTGTCTGTCATGGTGTGTGTGTCTGTCTGTCATGGTGTGTGTCTGTGTCTGTCATGGTGTGTGTATGTGTCTGTGTCATGGTGTATGTGTCGTGTGTGTGTGTCTGTCAAGGTATGTGTGTGTGTCTGTGTCATGGTGTATGTGTCTGTGTCATGGTGTATGTGTCGTGTGTGTCTGTCATGTTATGTGTGTGTCTGTCAAGGTGTGTGTTATTATTATTATTATAGCCATTTATATAGCGCCAACAGATTCCGTAGCGCTTTACAATATTGTGAGAGGGGGATTTAACTATAAATAGGACAATTACAAAAAACTTACGGGAACAATAGGTTGAAGAGGACCCTGCTCAATCGAGCTTACATTCTATAGGAGGTGGGGTGTAAAACACATTAGGACAGGAATTTGCAGTCAAATAAGGTGGGCTGCCCTTTAGGAGAGAGCAAGAGACAGGTATGTGAGGCAGAGGTTAGTCTTGGAGGCCATAAGCTTTCCTGAAGAGATGGGTTTTAAGGCACTTCTTAAAAAATGCAAGACTAGGGGAGAGTCTGATGGCGGTAGGTAGGCTATTTCATAGGAAGGGAGCCGCCCGCGAGAATTCCTGCAAGCGTGAGTTGCCCGTACGGGTGCGGACAACGGACAGGAGGTGGTCAGGGGCAGAGCGGAGAGACCGAGAAGGGACATATCTTTGGATCTGTGAGGAGATATAAGAGGGGCTAGAGTTAAGTGCTTTATAGGTGTGAATTAATACCTTGAATTGACTCCTATAGCATACATGAAGCCAATGTAAGGACTGGCAGAGGGGTGAGGTGTGAGAGAATCGACTAAAGAGGAAAATCAGTCTGGCAGCAGCGTTCATTATGGACTGTAGCGGTGCAGTACGGCTTTTGGGAAGACCAATAAGGAGAGGGTTACAATAATCCAATGCGAGAAATTACTAGAGCATGGACAAGCTCCTTGGTAGTATCTAGTGCAAGAAAGGGGCGGATGCGAGCTATGTTTTTAAGATGGAATCCACAGGATTTGGCAACATGCTGGATGTGAGGCCAGAATCAAGTATGACGCCAAGACAGCGCGCTTGCAAGGATGGACTGATGTGGGTACCACAAACTTGAAGGGAGAGGGAAAGAGGAGGATCAGTATTAGGAGGAAGAAAGACAAGGAACTCAGTTTTAGAGAGATTGAGTTTCAGAAAGCGGGAGAACATCCAGTCAGAGATGGAAGAAAGGCAAGCAGTGACACATTGCAGGACGGCAGGTGAGAGTTCCGGGGAGGAGTGATATAACTGGGTGTCATCAGCGTACAGGTGGTAGTGGAATCCAAGAGAGGCAGTATAGAGAGAAAATAGAAGGGGACCAAGGACAGAGCCCTGGGGGACTCCAACTGAGACAGGATGAGGGGAGGAGGTATCATTAGAAAAGGAGACATTGAATGAGCATTGGGAGAGATAAGAGGAAAACCACGAGAGGACAGAGTCACAGAGACCAAGTGATTGAAGAGTTTGAAGAAGGAGAGCATGATCAACGGTGTCAAAGGCCGCAGAGAGGTCAAGAAAAATTAGTATGGAGTAGTGGCCTTTGGATTTAGCTGCGATTAGGTCGTTACTAACTTTGATAAGCGCTGTCTCAGTAGAGTGGAGAGGGCGGAACATGCATAAGGGAAGATTAGGTCAAGGGTATTGCCAGCTACATGGGTGGGAGAATTAGCCCACTGTGATAGTCCAAGGGAGGAAGTAATTGAGAGTAGTTTAAAGGTCAAAGGTGGGTTAATAGGAATATTGAAGTCCCGCGAATTAGGGATGGAATATTAGAAGAGAGGAAAAAGGGTAGCCAGGCAGCAAAGTGATCAAGGAAGAGAAGAGGGGAGCCAGGGGGATGATAAACAACAGAGAAGGGTTTGAAAAGGCAAATTTAATGTATTTCAAATGATCGGAAAGAGAGGGAAGGGGGGGTGGGTAGAGGTTTAAAGGAGCATTGAGGGGAGAGGAGAAACCCTACACCACCACCTTCACATTCAGAGTTTCTTGTGTTGTGGGTAAGTTGAAGACCACCGAAGGACAAAGATGCAGGGGTAGCAGTGTCAGAGGGGGATAGACAGGTTTCTGTTAAGCCTAGTAAATCTATTGAATGAGAGATGAAGAAGTCATGGACAGCAGTGGATTTAGTAATATTGCAAACAGAGCGTGCATTCCAGAGGGCAGTATTGAAGGAGGATTTAGAGAAACATGAGATGGGTATGAGATTCGTGTGGATCCTTGGGTTAGTATGTCGTGAGTTTGCTGAGATGGGACCGGGGTTTGGAGAGACATCACCAGCTGCTAGGAGCAGAAGGATAGAAAGGAAGTGAAGGTGGGAGTAGGATTTGAGTTTTGTAGGAGGGTATGTATGTAGAGGAGTTGGTGGAGATAGGCTTGAAAGGTATGTGTAGAGTGCATGGGATGAATAGTAAGGTGGAAGTAATGAACATGGTGTTGCCAGGTGACAGGTGAGCAAAAGGATAGGGATATTTTAGTAATGAGAGAAGTTAGTGTTAAAGTGAAAAATAGAAGGGAGAACATTAGAGAAAGTGTATTCTGTAGAATATATATATATATATGTGTATTCTATAGAATATATATATATAAGTTTACTCAATGATGACGTATAGGGGGCGGACCGGAAATCGGATATGTTCGCCCAACGCGAACACGCTATTGTTCGCCGGCGGACATTTCACGACATCTCTAAAAATGACATGATCATACCAACTTTAAGAAAAACAAAAACAGAAGATCAGGATGGGAGATATAGTTATCAATTAAGCAGTGATAGTATAGGGAGGGAGATGGAATAGAACACAATTTTAAATTAAGAGTTTAAAGGAAACAGTAATGCAGGAATTCCTGAGTAGATCTTCCAGAGATGATACCTCTGCTCAGAAGATTCTGCAGGACTTGGTCGCTTGGGAGTGCTGGGTGTTAATGCTGTTTTAAGGGGCCCAGTCTCTGCTCAGAACATTCTGCAGGACTTGGTTGCTGGGTGTTAATATTGTGTGTCTATCATGGTGTGTGTGTGTCTGTCTGTCAAGAAATGTGTGCCTCTGTCATGGTGTGTGTGTCTGTCAAGGTGTGTGTGTGTGTGTGTGTCACGGTGTGTGTGTGTGTGTCATGGTATGTGTGTGTCTGTCAAGGTGTTTCTGTGTCTGTCATGGTGTATTTGTCTGTGTTATGGTGTATGTGTCTGTGTCGAGGTGTGTGTGTGTCTGTCATGGTATGTGTGTGTCTGTCATGGTGTGTGTGTCTGTCAAGAAATGTGTGTGTGTGTGTGTCTGTCAAGAAATGTGTGTGACTGTCATGGTGTGTGTCAAGGTGTATGTGTGTCTGTCAAGGTGTTTGTGTGTCTGTCAAGGTGTGTGTGTCTGTCAAGGTGTTTCTGTGTCTGTCAAGGTGTGTATGTGCGTGTCTGTCATCTGTCGTGGTGTATGTGTGTGTCTGTGTGCGTTTAAAAATAATGTTTTTACTCACTTTTTTTTTTCCCAGCCCTGTGCTGCAGGGCTTGCATAGATTTTTTTCCAGGGCTGTTTTGTATCCCCAGTCTGGCCCTGGTGGCCCCTGTACATTTAGGGTGTTCAGAGTGCCAGATATTCTAGATATTTAAGTGCCTGTTCAGTGCTGACATTAAACAATAAAGCTAAACAATATGCCCTGTGTGTCCCAAGCCTGTTGGATTCCGAGGTATATATGGACCTCGCTATAACATAATTACATGTAAAAAGTGCCAAATCTAAACAATATGCATTTTTTTGTCTAAAACTAATCGGGAGCTGTTGGAGTTTCGGCTCCCCGGAAAGGATATGATCAAAGCTTGTCTGACAGTTCATCCGGTGGGGCCCTAAACGGGGCCTTTGGGGTGGTCTCTTTCTTGTGTATTGTCTTGGAGGGAGCGGGGTGTTACTTCTTTTATTGGTGTTTGTGTTGAGCTGGTCCGCCGCTTGTAGTGTGAGGCCCAGTGTTGAGGCAAAGTCCTTCATTTATGCTGGATGTTAAAGGGTGTATTCCTGTTCCCCTTGCCGGACTGTTAGATTAAATGGGTGTCCCCATCGGTACTTAAGTCCTTGCTGGGTTAGAGCTATTGTGAGTGTTTTATGTTCTCTCCTCTTCTTCAATGTTGTGGGTGCCAGGTCTTGAACAAATGCTAGCGTTTGCCTGTGATATTTCGGTGGTGCAGTTCTTGCGACCGCCAGGAGCCGTTCCTTGGTGGTGAAGTGGAGCAATCTTACAGTTACGTCTCTTGGGGCTGTGGTGTTAAATGCAGGTGGTCGTAGGGCTCTATGAGCCCTTTCTATTTCCCAGTCCTAAGCTGTGGTGTCCCGTAGGAGTGTTTGAAATGGCTCCTGGAGTGTGGGCAAGATGGCGTCTGCCAGTACTGTTTCCGGATGGCCACAGATTCGTATATTATTCCTCCTGGATCTGTTGTTCAAATCCGGCAGGTTATCTTCCAGGAATTGCAGCTTGTCACTCAGGTAAAATATATCCTGGCTGTGTTGTGTGGTTTTAGCATTTAGGCTCGTTATGTCTGTTTTGGCCTGGCTGATGCATTCTGTTAAGGCCTCGAGGTCTTCCTTGAAGTCCGATATTTGCCTTTCGAGCTCTCTTGCGGTGTGCATTTTAATTTCTGCGGTGGCCTCCTGTAGCATGCGATGGAGGTCTTGTTTCATTAGCGAGGCTTGTTGTCCCACCGATGCTTCGCTGCAGTCAGAGTCTGAGCCAGATTCCTGTAGGCCTTGGCTTAAAGATGGCCGCCCCTGTTCTCTGGGCCCAGAACATTGTGGCCACTGATGGCGTTAGTTCCTTTTTTTTTTCGTGCCCCCCATGATGTTGCTGGTTGGGTAAGCCTGTGGGTGGCTAGTGGTGTCTGTTTGGCGACTGGATGCCTGGTAAAATGTGCTGATTGTAGCTAGATGTAACTCCTGAGAGGGAGAGCAAGAGACTCAAGCATCCATCCGCATTGGTGGTCAGGCTCCGCCCCCCTAGAGTATTCTTTTAACATTAACCTCAAGGCTTTTAATACTTAATGGCCCCAAAGTCCCTCTCTGACCTTGTCAGATACCCTTCTTACGTTGATTGTATCTATCACAATAAACAGACCACTAACCCTAATTCTCTTTCTAATTCTTAATCTAAACAACCACCACTTTATATGCAGGAGTCTCTCTTACCTTTTCCTACCAGCTTACCTGCTCTGGACTAAGAATCTATTAATCCTCAAAGAAAGCTAGGGGATCCCCCAGTCCACCATTATGCATTGTCCACCACTCCAAAGGCCAGTGAATTAAGGAACAGGAGATGCCTATTCTCCTGGTACCAGTACTGTGTACAATGGATAGGGCATCATCTGGTCTTGTAGTGATGAGGTGGGGATTTATACTTATTGAGGTATGAGGGTTTGAAGGCCCTCATATTGTAGCAGAATTGGGTGCATGGAACTTGTGCCTCCCCTGGCACTGAAATCATTGGATTATGTGATTCTAGACAGTTCACTATTGTTAATAAACTTCCACCCAACAAGTCAAGAGGTGGAGGAAGCTGTTGGGGCAATTTGTTCGGCACTTACACAGTTTTGATTTGATTATCCTTTTCCTCAACATACATAGGACAAAAGAAGAGGGAGATATAATTTCTGCTCCATTCCTCCAGTAAATCTTGTTGTAAGGGTTGTACTAAAATTTGGCTGTATTTTGGAGAGGCAATTTGCTGGGCTCTTTCTAGTTTTAAGCATTCAAGCATGTTTAATGTTTACTTTTCTTTTGTTTGTATGTATGTATGTATTAAAAGAATTTACTTTAACTTTTTATTGTTGCAAGGAATAAATTCAGTATACAATGGAGCAGTTAAGAAAGTTCCAATAAAATGCAAATTATAGAGTGTAATAAGTGTGATGTCAGCAAAATGGAGGTGAAAAAACTAGAGGAGTGAGGGTGAGGGTAAGAATAGATGCCAAAAAATGATAACTGGGGAAAGTACCAGACTAAAGTCATCTGCCCTAACCAGAGCAGCATTCTACATTTAAGCCAGATAAGGATTAATATCCCACAGGGCCTTCGTAATGTTACCAGGTTGGAACCCCCTGTTTATTCTTTGCAAAGGAATGATTAATGAAACCAAGCAATCTCATGGTTCTGGGTCCTGTATGTCTAACTCCTGAACCCTAAGTAACCACCTAATTTCACCTTGTGGTTAATCCTGCTTTGATTTGAACTAAAAAGTCTACAATTTTTTTTTTCTTCAACTAGGAAGCCCATACTTTAATTGCAAAAAATAATTCACAAAATATAATAGGAAAATATTTTTCTGTTTGCAAAATCCGTTTGTGTGCATAGAGGAAGCCATTTAATTCAAAATCCCATAACTGACTAATCAGGATTTGATAGGTCCAAAGGAGATGCCATAGTATTTCAGAGTTGGCAAAGGGAATAGAAGGGAAGCATTTTATTGTGGCCATGTCCAATAGTACTGTAACAAATTCCAGAACAGAAGTTGTCTGTTGAAAACCATCCAAATGAGAAAGAAGTGCAAGTTATATAATTTTGTTATATGGTGAAATTGACAGATTTCCTCCCACCCCCTCCCACTTTTAAATTTTTTGATAAATTGTTAAACATATTATGTTGCACTTTATGTCATCATTTTAATTAATCCACTGCCCCAACCGATTTATTCACAAAACCATATGTTAAGCTATTTTGGTAGGACTTTTTCAGCTCTCCATAGTCCCCAGTTTAGTGATCCAGTTCATATCTTTTCCCACACCTGTCCCATGGGCTTTTGTTTTTTGTGATTTATTTATTTTTTGTTTTGTTTTATTTCAGATAGAAATGTGTAATTAATTTGAGAGGCAGGCATAATAAAGTACATTAAAAAAAAAATATGGTTTTTCTATTTAAATATTCTAGTTACCGAATGTTTACAACTGTGTACTAAGAAAGCATTCTGTGGAAATTAAGAACTATTGTCTGCAGATCATTTAGGATACAAGACCTTCTTATTTTCAGATTAACCTTCATTTGTGCGTTATTGCAAGTTGGCATCAAGTAACGTAGATGTTTAGAGCAGTAAGCACGAGGTTGTGTATTGCGTGTGTGAGTCAGTAAACACGGTTTTAGGCATTATTTGTTTTTGCGCTCTGATTTTGGGTTTTGTTTGTGTTTTTGTTTTTTGTTTTTTTTCTTCATGACATTTCTGCTTCTTTTGAAGCTGGCTGCTCCTATGTTGTTGATTTGATTTCCAGCTAAATTATAAGTTACCAGATTAGAACCAATTCATGAGATGATATTTAATTGTGTCCCACAAGGGAGGGAAAGGCAGAGCACAACAGAGAGAGAGGATTCATAACATGATGGAGACAGAGTGAATAAGCAGAAAGAACGGTGAACACCTGAAAGTATTAGGACAAAACAAAAATGCATCTAAAATGCAGAATGATTGAGACACCACGAGAAAGTCTATAAAACAGTTTTAGACAAAATAAGATAAATGTCTGTGTATTAACTAAAATAATAATAAAGCATTATATTATTATTACAAGGTGGTAATGGATAACGTAAACTCAGCATTTCCAATACAACTCACTGATTAATAACACAGAAGAATATCATAATATGGAGTGAAAGTGATTAGAGACTGAAGGTTGAGAGGGCTTGTGAGAGAACATTAAGCTTCTCAGTAGATGATGAGGAAGATGATTAGCTATGTACATCATTCTGTCACACAAAGGTATCACCTTTATGGCAGCACTATTCTCTAAAGTGAGAATTCAAAGTGAATTTAAACTTAAGGCCAACATAGCCGACTTGCAGATTTTTTTTCAGTTTAGATATTTTGACCCAAGATTTTAAATTCACTTTGACTCAATATCCCACTTGGCTGATGTGTGACTTCATTCGGGGCAGCGATATTAGTAGCTCTGTCCATGGTGCTGAAAACTAGCATGCTGCTAATACAGGATTTGAGTCTGTTTTTCCACTTTCAATTCATTTCAGTGTTTCGCTTCCATGTATCTGTCTCTTTCATTGCTTTGCTACAATTATCCTTTTTTGTTTTGACCCTCATCTCTTTACTTTGTATGGTGAACACTTCTCCTTGTCGCTCTCCAGTGGATGGGTGCATTCACGATGCAGCAGGTCCTCTCCTGAAACTGGAATGCAGCACTCTCAATGGCTGTGACACCGGAGAGGCCAAAATTACATGTGGTTACCTTCTGCCTGCCAAAAGTAAGCCTGATCCCATATTTTCTCCTATAGCAGGGGTAGTCGACCTTCGGCAATCCAGATATTTTGGACGGCATCTTTTCTGACGCTTTTCCAGCGTTACAGCGATGTAGGTTGCCAACCCTACAGATAAACCATCAATATTCCACACCTAGTAGTCATCCACCTGGGTTCAAATCTGTGTTGATAGAACAAGGTTATTCACTAAAGTGTAAATTGTAGTAGACTGAAATTACAAAATTATAAGCCAAAAATAGATGATCTAGAAATAAAATCTCTATCTCATCTCTACTCCTATATTTTCAATCTGGAAGTTTGTCAGTAACTCTGTCAGTACTAAGAACATAAAACATCTGCAATAAAAATATGACTGTTATTTTATCTTAAATCTAGAATCATGTGGTATTGAAAAGGCAATTGCAAGCTTTAAGTTTTAAAATAGCCGAGCTAAAAAAAATTAAACTCCTCCTTTATATCACACTATTCATGGTTTGTATGAATTAAGTAGTTTGTATTGGTTGTTTTTCAATTCATTTGCAAAATAGCTTGCAAGTTGAAGATTTATCCATTTTGGCTATTCTGGAGTAAAATGTGTGATATAGCCTTGTCAATCCTCTGCAAATTCCCATTTTAGCAACAGGCAGCTAATTCTAACTCCTGAGCTTCCTACAATTTTATGTTTCCCCTTTCTGGGTTTGTAGGTCTACATATGATTTCTTCGAATACTAGTTGTAATATTGTATAGCCTATCGGTCATTGGCAAAGCTGTGCTTCACTTTGACTGGATTACATGGATGTCAGTGGCTAGGTACGGTTTTTGCTAAAAGTGTCATTCACAATTTTCTTGTTTATTTCTGACGTCCAAGGTGTCATTCATGCGGTGGGTCCAGTGGCTAGGGGCGCCCCAGAGCCCAGTGACCAGGAAGAGCTGAAGAACTGTTATAAGAATAGTCTGAGACTGGCAGAAGAGAATAAGCTACGAAGTGTGGTGAGCAAGCCATGGGATGAGGGGGGGTTGCCAGTATGTTTTGGTGTATCTCAACCACTATAAATAAACAAATACATCGGTAGAAGTAAGCAATAAGAGGTGCCATTCTCAACCTTATCATCGCCCTCTTCCTGTCTCTGAAAACTGGTGAATTACATAAATAGGAAGCAGAAAAACAATACCACTTTTTTTTCTTTTCATCACCCTCAATTATGCTTTCTTGTGCTGAACATGGTGATTTTCTTTTACACCTTTTGTTCTACCAATGTGCTTTCTCAGTATTTTGTTTTTCTTCTCATTGTCTCTCCATATTGTTCTGCAGCTGTCTGTATTTTTTTTTCTCTATTCTTTTTCCTATGCACCTTGCACCTTGTGGTTTTGCAGTACATTAGCACCCCTAATGGTAAAATGCAGGAAGTGATGTTATGTATTTTTAGACTTGTTTGTAAAGTCATAAGGCCTTGAATTAGGATATTGTAATTACTTTTATATAAAATAGCTTTTATTACGGAATATGACCTTCAGATGACAACAGTACGTAACGTTTTTCCAATAAGAAATGGGAGCATTTAGATAAGAAAAACAAGTGTTTAATACACTTTTTCCAATTCCACAAGTAGGACACATAGTTGCATAAAATTTCAAACCAGGAGTGAGTGGTCTTGCTGGACAAAAGAATATATAACGGCTTAAAACCTGCGTACGTTGAGTGGAGTGCTGGTCCCAAGAAGGGGCTCCAAAGTCCTCTAACCAGCACTTTAATGGATTTTTAGGACAGTAGTAAAACAATAATTGGTGACGAAAAAACTAAATTTGTATGTGACATTAATGCACATATTGATATATATATTTTTTTTTTATGTTATATCATTGTCCACATTTGTAATGTTAAGATTAACTTTATTTTCAGGAGTTTAGCCTGGAGTGAAGGTAGATGCACTATGTAATGTAATACAATTATGAGTTTAATGAGCATCATGAACCATGGGGGCCTTACTAAAACCCTTGAGCACTCTGTTATATAATCAAGGTCACTTTGAGCAAATCACAACTTAAGAGACATGATGTGGCTGTTGAAAAGTCTTGTCCAGCGCTAACATTATTGGGGAACTCATGTTGGGAACTAATGTCCACTACACGATTCTAAGTTTTGAGACATATGATTTGAGTTGCAGTTCCACAACATCTCGCTTCCTGTAATTTGTACAGCAAATGATGATACACCATCTCTTGTGAACATGTTTACATTTCTGCTTGTCAGTGTCCCCATGGTTCATGATGCTCATTAATTGCATCTTTGGACAAGCTTCAGTGTTTGAATCTTCTTTTATTAGACTGCTTAATGTTTGGTCATGTAAAGTGCCATGGCATTTCTTAAATTCGAGCCAAAAGGGGTAGCCCCCTTGATCGTATGTCCCTGAGAACACCACCCGTAACAAGTTGATAGGGTTTAAAGGAACACTTTAGTGTTAGGAATACAACATGTATTTCTAACACTGTGTTCCTCAGCCAAAGGGGTCCCCCTCAAAGCATTGTAAAGAGTTAATCCTTTATTCACTTACCCAATTCCAGCACCGAGGTACGCCTACTCCAACATCATCTGATGGGGAGACCTAATGCACATGCATGGCGAGAGCATTAGCCTTTCACCATAGGAAGCTTTGCCTCAATGCTTTCCTATTGGTTTTTCTCAGACACTGGATGTGGCCATGCAAACATGAAGACATCCAGGGACGCTTCAGGTAGTTAAACTCCATGAAACTCCAGGAAGCAGAGCTAGTGACTGTCTATTTTAAGGGACAAAATAAGGGAATAACGTCTTTGTATTGCCATATTAAAACAATAGTGTACTTTAATAAGGACCATAAAATTATGGTTCAATGCCTATTCCATAGTCCTGGTACATGTTGTTACTCCCATCCAAATAGACCACTTTAATCAGTGCACAGGAAATACTATATTTTTATATAAAATAGGATATGTCAAGGATACTGTGGGAGAGACACAAAGAACAGACCTGCCCATGTGCTATTTTTATATGTAGATTCAATAAAGGTTTTATTGTTTGATTGAGAATATTAATTTCCCACTGCTGAGGGATCCAACTATTTTTTCCATTATTTAGCTCAAGGAAGTACCAGGATGTGTATTGGGATATTGAACCTAAATAACAGCTTCATTGTAAAAACGGGATAACGTTGTCTGCTTATCTTTGTAGAAGGAGGTACTTGCCCAGTCTAAAACAAGTAGTCGTTCGAATATTTGTGTAAATATCTGGGGGTGGGTTTTCTCCATTGAAGCAATATGGCATCACCTGCTTTAAAAGAACCTTGCAAAGTATGAACAATGGATTGACTCGTGGTATGCCCTAAATACATCTAACTCTCCATAACTGGAGAACTTTTATTTGCTATGATTCCACTCTGATGAGATATATCTGTTCTCTAGGCAAGTTCAATGGCTCTTACATATGTATGAAGTCAAGATAGTTTGACAATAAGCCTTAAGGTCACCAGGCATGTGTTGATCTGTTAACTAAACATTGTTAATGGTTCTTTAAGTACAGATATGTGTCAGTACTTGTGTTTGCTATTATTTGTACTATTCTAGATAAATAGTACTTTCTGAACAATAAGTGTAATAGCTTCAGCAACATTGGCATTTAGTGATTTAATACCATAACTGACAATTACTGTAATGGTGTAATAATTGCCTAATTATCTCCATTGTCCAGGCTTTCCCCTGCATTGCCACAGGAATATATGGTGAGTTTGTGTGTGATCGTGTGTGTGTGTGTGTATGTATGTATGTGTGTGCGCGTGTGTGTGTATATTTATATATATATATTATATTTAAATATATACACACATACTACATACATATAAACAACTATTTCTAAAATTTGAGTATATATATATATATATACTTATATATATACTCCATTTTAATAAATAGTTGTTTATTTGTTCTTTACACTATTTTCAGTAAAAATGCATATTTATAATTAATCTGCCATTGCAGGATATCCATCGGAGGACGCAGCCGATGTGGCTCTCAACACAATAAGGAATTGTTTGGAAGAAAGCCCCGATAAGGTGAGTACCAAAAGTTGGATTCTAGAAAGAGGAAAACAAGCATTCGTTTATAAAGAATCATTTGTGAGCTATCAACACGTGCATAGTATCTGTGAAATTGGAATGCATATGGGCATGGTCTGTGGAGGTGGAATACAACAAGCTGGCAGGCAGTTTTTTATATGTGTTGGTTACTCTTATAGCAAGGGCGAAGGTGAAGGCTTCTCTGACATCAGGAGCCCTTTATTTTTTGCAATTATGAATAGATTTTCAGTTTTTGTTTTTTCATTTGTTTTGTTTTCCAGTGAAGGACAAGTATATTAAATGAGGAGCCTGCGCAGTTAGATGCCATAGGCAACCAATGACTGGCAATGTGCAAAGCTTTTGCTGCCAAATCCTGCCATTTAAAACCAAAGATCGTAACTTTGATTCCTTTTTTAATGTACATATTTTGATTACATCAGAATTTTTTTTTAAATTCCAACAAAGTCAAAAACAGCTTTTCATCTATGAAGACTTTTTCAGTCTTTTCTTACTACTTTTCTTTCTCATACCCTACTCTGGTTCTGTCTGCCCCTTGATATAGCTACGCGGGGTACGTGTGAGTGCACATGGATAACCAGTGATGAAGTAAATATCCACCGTTTGGAGTTTGTTGCATTAAGGGCATTTCTTCAGAGTTCTATAATAGCTATGGCAAGAGTCAAGGGAATCTCTATCCATTCCTATTTTCAAAAAAATTTTTATAGTTTTTTCGTTATGCACATATTTAACAAAGTGGATGAGACGGCTCACATAGGGGCATACCTAGATAAAAATGCTATGATTCTTGTGCTAGACAATGTAATTGGTTTTATGTAATAATACCTTATTATTATTGTTGTCAAAATTTTGCGGAATTTAGCATTTTGCACCACTGTGTTATGCTGTTTCTTGACCAAAAATAAAGAATTGGGGGAAAACTTTCAGTGCCACTTTAAGATTATATACCTACTGTACGCAAAGTGGGTAAAGTTCTATATGAGTTACTTGTACTGTAGATTGCAGTAATGGCCATAATGTTTGTATTGAATATTATAGAATGGCTCCTTTTATAACTAATTGGATTTGGCTGCTAAATGACATAAAGCAAAATCCATACCTACCTGTCTACAGATTGCATTTCATTGATGTAGTTCACTCTCTCCCCTCGTGCGTTCTGGGTAACATAGTGCAGATGGGACTCTCTGTAAAATAAATGACTTCTGGATTGTTTTAGAGTTGGAATTGGACACTTTGACCTGTTAAGTGAAAACAAATATTGCAGACTATAATTTCAGCCAAGAAAAGAAAATTGCTTCTACAGCAAAATAAGTATAATTGTCCTTTCTTCAGACACAAAGTTTTGCATAACTATTTGGCAGACTACGAGTCAATCAAGCTTTAAGTGATCAGTCCAAGATATTACAACATAAACAGTGAAGTGATAATGTGTTCTGTTCTGCAGTTAGAGTTCTAATTCTCTTTATATGGGGGACCAGGACCCCACTGTCCCTTCCCCATAGAATGTGTGTCATCTGGCTTGTCCTAAAATCCTGCATTATAAAGTAAAGTACATATAGTATCCATGAAAACAGCAACCCATGGACCTTTTCTAAGTACACTGCAAATGGCGATTGCACAAGTCCTGGGAATTATCAATCATGGGAATCCTAGCATATAAACAGCCAACCAGTAGACAGTTAAGCTGTAGAACACTCCAACTGTCAGAGTAATCCACTTCAAAATAAATGAGGTAGTTTTATATTGTCCAGTTAATTTCCACCTGGCCTAGGGAAGCTGACATGGACAAGTATTCACCCAGCTATCCTGAAGCTTGCCTGCTACTGACCACACACAATAAATATATACAAAGCCTAGACACACCTGCAGGAAAGCAATGGAGTGTGTATGTCAGGAATACAACTGATCCAACTTGCAAAGTGTGTACCAAAACCTAACAAAGAAGAATTGGTCTGTAAGGGGCGTATTACCAGTCCTTAGAGTGTTCAGGCTGAACACAATGATGGTAAAGAAAATTGCCAACTACTACATAGGCATGGGCAAGCCAAAAAGGGATGACCGAGGAGGTAAGTAGTTCAAGGATGACCAAGAAAACAGAAGCTCAAAAAACCAAGTCAGGGATGCCTAAATTGAGGGGAAAAAAACAGTTTGCACATTATAACGATGTCTGGAATATTATTTGCATTTCCAGAGTACATGGGGGCATCCATGAGTTTGATGCACTGGTAGGTTTCTGCTGGTGAATGTCACTGGAGACTGCGCATCGTTGGCGAGTATATACCTGTCAGAAACCATAACAGTATATTATTTGTAAGCAAATAATCTGAACAGGAACCCACATCATTTTCCAGTTTCTGTGCAATCCAATGTTATTTTTAGCAACAAAAGAAGAGCGCGTATTTATATTGTATATTTTTCTTCTATTGTGTCAGATACAGTAACTATGTTATATGACGAGTGAGTGAACAAGATTATCTCCACTTGTCCCCATTCACAATTATTTAATTGTATTTAATATACCTTGCTCATCAAGCTGATATTCTGACTCCATGATGCAGAAAGACATATTCTTCTGTCTTTGTATAGTCGGTGCAGGCGAGGGTTCCCTGATTTTAAGTGGCATAGTGCTATACTTCAATAGATCAAGTGGCCAGCTATGATGAATACGTTAAAGCGGATTTGTCTCTTTTGGGAGTCTTTGCAGATTTTGCATCTCCCGTTAGGGTCAGGTGGACGAGGGGTGCAGTGGAAGGAAGGTTTACTTCTCCTAAGCCTATCCACATATCCGCTGCCATCTTCTTCCTCTAGGTTGTTTTCAGAGATGAGCATAGTCAAAGTCAGAGAGTTGATGAGAAACTGATGCAAAAATAACTAATCTGGAAAAATTATCCAACTCTCCAAAATCAAACCTTGGCTATTTTGTTGCAGTGTTTCCATTTGGAATTATTGTAAAGGGACACTCCACTGCCCAGATACAATTATTTTTTAAAATCATTATTTAGTATACATTCCCCCAATGAAAATATGCATGCAGTTATTGTCATTGGGGGTATATTTAAATATCTCTTGCAAAAGCTGCAGATCTCTTGTCTGCTGTCTTTGCAAATCCTCACATTCTAACCCCGCCCAGACTATCTGTGGCTGTCCAATCACAGACTTCCTAATGCAGCAAAATTAGAATTTTCTGCAAAGCCGGTGCTATGGGCAATGGCTGTATTTTGAGTCTAGCCCCACTGAGCTAAGCAACCAGAAAGACCTGTTGTCTGTTAGTCAGCAGGTTTTACAGGGTTAAATTATAAACGTTCTAATTTCGATTGAAATCTGCACTTTTTGTAAAATGGAAAAAAAGACATACTCTTTACACATAATTTACTTCAACGAGCTAAAGCACTTTGTGTGTGGGGTGTTTATTTAATCTGAATAATTCAGAGTTTAGTGAATAACACTCATTGGGTGAAGTGAGGGAGAAAAATGGAAATATAATACACGTGGGGATATGGAGGGAATAGATGGAAAAAAGATGGTCGGAGATAGAGGGTGAGGAAAAGGAAGAAGAGAAGAAAATGAGCGAATTGTACAAAATGAAAAAAATGTGATGGAGAGAACTGAATTAAATAAGATGGTCATGGTAAGAAAAACATAAAGGAAGTAGAAGTACTAAAATAATTGAGAAACATCGAGGCAGAAAATGAGATCTGTGGGATTTAGCACTGGAGTTAATGAAAGAGAAAGAATGGGAGAGGAAATGTTAGATGTGACGGTGGTGGCTGGTTAACCTTGGCACTGCAAATATTCCATTATTATGGGAAATTTGGTAAACAGCCCCCTGGTGAACTTAGTACTGCATGTTTATAAATCACAAACGTTCCACCTTTACCCTGGCCGAGAAATGTACATGGCATTCCATTGCAGTGACAGGACTAGTCAATATTATGCCCTAACCTGGATATACGCCAAGCAATTGATAGATCTTTGTATATAATCGTTTGTACGTGTACATTCACAGTCTACTTGCATCTGATTTTGTCCTCAGTTTGACCGAGTCATCATATGTGTTTTCCTGAAGAAGGATGAAGATATTTATCTTCAGAAATTTCCTGAATATTTTCCTCTGGGTGAGTGGCAGTATGTGCTAAAAAAAAAAAAAAAAAAGTACTCTGAAATGTTTTAACAAATCCTTTTGTCATTTAAGCTGAGCATTAATGAGCGCAGCGAAATGACAAACTCGAACAAAAATTCTGTGTGTTCTAGAAATAAAGTCCTACATGTTTTGGACACCATTCTTATCTTTGTTGCGCTCCACTGTACGTTTCAGTCAAGTTTCACTCTAACTTGTATTGCAAACAATAGAGGACGAGAACACAATAGCCATCGCTGATAAAGCAGAGAATGCGCCTTATGCTATTGATCTCGGTGTGTCAGAAACTGAACTATGCATTGAATTGAGCTGGAGATCTAATCAGACAGCACCTAAGTATGAGAGAGGAGTGGTGGCTTTTATAGACGCAAACGTGTCCTTATGTTCAAGATAAATAAAATACGTAAGATTAAACCTGGAACAAGAAACGGACTAAAACTGCAAGGAATATGAACCTGCAGCACAATCTTGCACACACAATGTACTCAGTGGGTACCTTTCAAATGGCACTCTGTGGAGCAGGCCTCTTACGCTAGAGCTGTATAGATTTTCACAAAAATCCTTTAATTATTAGACCTCAATAAGATTTTCCATGAGGTGTTAAAAATACGATCCCCATATTTCGTCCATTTTTCCTCCATTTTCAAAGGTTTTGAAATCAATATAGGACCCACACAAAATCAGGGGAGATTGCCTTTTCCTAAAAAAAGAAAATCTGGCACCCCTTAGAACCGTCTCATACTTTTAATCACACTGTTTTTGATAGGCAGAATAGCACTCTGTCACTGGAAAGGTTGTGAGAAAGTGCCAGTGTAACACTGCAATATTATGTAGCATATATGAGCTCAGTTCTGTTGAAGGGTTACTCTAAGCAACTTGACCCCTTCAATGATTTGAAGTGGTCATGGTGCCTGGAGTCTTTATGTGCTGCGTTTCACTTTGAAATGTCGCTCATACAGAGTTTAAACCCCTATGCTGCCAGAGATGTAACTACATCAACGGCAGCTTCATTGGGTCGTCTGCTGCCTGCCCCGAACATAATGTTGGTTCTAATAAATGTTTTTTGTGTTTTCACTAATTTTACTTTGTATCTCTTGTTGTACTGTCAATGTTACAGATACTGTGAGGATAAGATGACAACGTCTTGCAAAATATTGTTTTTAGATCAGAACATTTGACTGCCAGAATGTTTCCACTATGATCGCTCATAAACAATTGTAAAGTGGGGGATTAGTCACCCACCTATACTGTACACATGACTGGTGGAAAACAAAAATGTCTCTTTAGATTTAAGTGCAGTGAATTACCGTATGTGCTTTAAAAGCACAGATCTCTTATGTCTGTCCAATTAACTGTTAATGGAATGGGGTGCAGGAAAAATATACAATCCCAGCACCTATAAGCATTAATTTCACAGGCTGGCAAATGTAGTACGTTGCCATTAAAGTAGTAGGGGACAGCCACAACTGCACTTTGCCTTACCTGCTTCATCAGGAATGAGATTGAATGATGCTCTACGGAAAGAGTAATGAATAGGTCTTTTATTAAAGCATGTTCTGCTTTTTCAGCCTGAAACAGACTATGTCCTCAGTCAGGGAGCGTGGTAAGAGCTTGGTGTGTGAGTCATGAAAACATAGTAATAGATTATGTGTGTGCTTGCATGCTCACAGCAATACGTTCGAACATGTTTGCGTGCAATACACTATAACATAAGCCATGTTAATTACATTTTAAGAAAATCTACTTCTGCAAGTCCAGAACTATTTCTAACCAGACACATAATTGATATTCTCACTTTAATAAAATGTTTTCTGTGTGTTTTCTATAATGTAAATAATTTTCTGCTGAAACAAGTTGGTCTTGCTGTTTGTATTGCATTAATAGTCTTGTATCATTAGTTTGACATTGAATACTTACCTATAGAAGGAACTGTCTTTGGTGAGGTTTTCTTCCAAAGTTGTTTAGGCCATTGCTTTGTCATTTTCATCTGGTCGATGGTTGTTTTTTATTCTCCTGCTATGTATTTTATTTTTACTCCTTACATGGAACTTCTGATCTAGGGTCACACACATTGTACTCAGATCCACTATTGAGTATCAAGGCAGAATAGGCAGTACGGTTGAATGTGACCCGTTCAAACCAGAGTCCACTTGTCGACTGGTTAAAATATAACATAGCTTCATTAAAGATCTGCACTAGATGGGTGGCCCATAACGAGACTGCATTGACTGCTCTCTTACCCCATGTGTAAATCATTGGTTCGACGAGGATATCATGCAATTTACTATTAATGCTGTAAGGATGCCATGCGCGAGTGTGGGTGCTCCAGTCTTCTATTTCATGTTCCTTCACTGCACTCACCATTTTGCTGTCTGTGGCATGATCACCTCCCCTGCTAGCCTTCTCATGCCAGTTGCCAAGCATCTTATGTCCCTCCCAAGCCAGATATATCACAGCACTTTTACCTGTTTTTTTTGCTCAGCACCCATTTCATGCCTCCATCACTATCTAATGTCTGCTTGCCATTCATTTAATGTCCTTCTCTCCCATTGACCTATCATGTCATATAAATAATGACTCTCCTTCCCCAAACATTCTTCTTATACTACCTGCAATCCACCCCATGCCTCTCCTTGACCGTCTTTAATGTAATTGCCCTGACATCCATCCCACCTCCCCTCATACCTATCCGTCTCTTACATGCCTCTCTAAAGATTCTCATACCTTCTCCCCAGACATCAATTTAATGCCCCTTGACATGCTTTAAATTTCCCTTTACTTACCATATTTCCATTTTATGTGCCATGCCACCCATTCATCATATTTCACTAGTTCTCAATTAATACCCGCTGTTGTGTCCCTTCCACCCAATGTTCTCTGTCGCTCACCTGATGTTCCTGGCACCGTTCCTTTCATGCCCCAATTAATCTCATCCCTAAAGATGATCAAATTTCCTTCCACAACCTCCCTAATCTCCCTAGTCTCACATTAACCTCTGCAGCACCCCTTTCCTTACTCATTTCCTATATTCCAATTCTGTCTGACATGTCTCATTGCCTCGAATTCCAGTCTCCACATTCATTCCCTGTCCTCTCTTCCATCCATCTTCTCCTCTTTATTATTTTCCTTCTCTGTTGCCTCACTGTTTTATAAAGCTGTTTTGTTATTTAATTTTCCCTCAGGCATCCAATACTCTAGTGCTTAGTTGGAATGAAGTTTCTCTGCATGTTCTGTTATATGGATTTGTGAATCAAGGGCTCAGAAACAGAGATAAGGCATGGTTATGTGAAAGTATTTACTGCTGGGAGGAAGGGCTCTAAAGCAAACATTTTGTTGTGTAAAAGTGAAATATTTACCATCCAAATTCTATCAGCCAAAATATTAGCTACATGTATATAGAATATTGGTGAAATACATATATGAAAAACTAGGTGTACAGAAGATTACAGTGGTAAACTACATGTATAAATGGTGACATTGTTATAATTAAAAATAATACAATAATTATTTTATTAGCATTTATTAATGGCATCTCCTGATCCTCACTGAAACATGTCTCTCCTCATCTGACTGTGCCACCCCTGTCTTATGGTGGCCTCCAACTCTTGCATACTTCCGGACCTGGTAAATGCAAGAATGGTGGAGTGGGTCCAAAAGAGGTACAGACGGTGAGGGGAGGTGGGATAAACTAGAGAATGGGGTCAAAAGTGTTGAAAGCAGCAGAAAAATCAAGATGAATATGTAGGGAGTTATGGCCTTGGATTTTTTCCATTACTTCTCGAATTACAAACTATCCAATTATGGAATTCCAACTATCTACTTGACCCGCATCAATCCGGCTTCCACTCCAAACACTCCACAGAGAGTCTACTGACCAAAGTGACTAATGAATAATTAGTGATGGCAAAATACAAAGGCTATTATTCTATACTTATTATTCTCTTTCTGCCACTTCCAACACTGTTGACCATCCTCTTCTCCTCCTCACCCTTCACCAACTTTTGCCACAGTGGTACCGCACCCTCCTGGTTCTCTTACTTCATCTCTAGCTGCTCCTTCAGTGTCTTCTTCTCTTGTTTCTCCTACACCTCTGAACCTCTTGTGGTTGCCATTCATGGAAGCTCTGTACTGGGACCTCTTCTTTTCTTAATTTACACTTCCTCTCTTAATATCACCTGCATGCTGATGATACCCAGATCTTACTCTCCTCACCTGATCTTTCACCCCCTCTGTTGGATCATGTCACTGACTGCCTATTCTCTCTCTGAACTGGATGACTTCATGATTTCTTAAACTCAATCTCTTCAAGACTTAACTCCTTGTCTTTTCTCCTTCTAAGGCTGACACTGTAATCTCTAACCCACAGGCACATTGTCACGCGCACAGTTTAGTGATGCCGGGCTGGAATTACATATTCCGGCACCCTGCATCACCACAGAGGGCGTGCATGAGCAGTGAGGAGCAGGAGAACAGACTGTGCTCGCTGCCGTCAGGTTCCTCTCCCCCCGGCTGGGTAGATTTTAGCAGAGTAGGCACCTGCAACGTGGCCTTAACAGTAAGCATGTACTCGCGGCTTGCTGGGCCGCAATGATATTCATTGTTGGCCGCGAGTTTGACATGCTTGGACTACAGGATATCAGCACACTGAGCATTTTACCAGATGACCAGCCTGGCCCTGCTTGTAACGGAGCATTACTAAATCTGCCTTTATGTATTTATTCAGACTCTCAAACCTACCACCTATGGCTGCAGTACCATGTGCCTGATCACACCTCAATCATGTCAAAATACTGGTAGTTGATCAGACCAATCTTTATTTAATTTTGTTTCCCACGCATAATAAAGAAGAAACATTTTATAAAGATAATTCCAGCCAAGATTTAACATTTCATTGTGCTCAGAAACAAATTGTAAAATTGCATGTTTGTTTTTTTGAGAGATGGGTTTGGTATATGTCGGAGTATTAAAAAAAAAAAAATGCTCATATTACAGGATTCTTCTTTCTCTACTTACAGACGAAGAGGTCGACGACGACAACGCTGAATCTGATCCTGAGAATTCATCTACATGTGTTTGAGTCTCCAATATTCCTGCTTTCCTCCTGCTCCATGTATTTGCAGTGATATTAGTAAAGTCAATACTACAATCAGCTTTATGGCGTGATTATTTACCCCAAATAAGAGGCACAAGAAAGTGGAGAGAACCTCCCTAATCATTTCTTTAAGAGCTGAGCTTAAAACCACTTATTGATTTGCCTTTCCATTAATCAAAGAGACAGCCAGAGACCTGTCAAGGTGACAGCCACAAACCTCACTAGAAGATAAATGGTGCCAAATGCATGTCAGGAAAAGAGACAGTCTGTATATGATAGGTCTCCGATTGTCTCTGGATTTCAGAGAGACAGAGAGCTGTTAAGGACACAGATTTAAACCTCACTATATGCTGTGTGGTGCCAAATGTGTAACAAGGAAAGAGACGGTCTGAAATCAGGAGATGTAGATACAGTGAAACAACCAGACGTAAGTTAGAAATGAGACAAGGCAGTCAATGACATGATTAATAATAAAATAAACTGATGACAAATTCATCAGATAGAAAAAAGTATGTCTGGTCAAGCTACATCTGGATATCTAGATATTAAGTCTTATCAATGTCTCTTTCTTAAGCAAATTTAGAAAGAGACATTTATTGGAACCAGCGCAAATCAACACACAGACATTTTAGACACACAAGGACAGCCAGAGGAAAAGGGTAATATTTAAAATCTTCGAATATACCTGTGTGATGGGGGGGTGGGATATAATAAAAGTTCCTGGACAAAAACAAATCTGCTTCCCAGAGTAACTGCTATATACATGTCAAAACGAGAAACCACTGCAGAAAGTGAAAAGCACATCTTTCGAGACACCCGGAGATTTGTCTCCCTCTAATAGGTATCTGCAGTTACTCTTTAACCCACCTGTCAGAGATGGATGCATTTATAGACTTGTCATCTAGACAGACAGGCATTTTAGAAAAAGGTGACACCCTAAACTTGTAACATGAAGACAGGCAGTCAGGATTAAGGGCATCTCGTGGCTCGGAAAACACAAAAATGCTTAAAAATAAAATGTAAAAACCACTGGGAATTGAAACATACAGTGAGAGATTAACAGACGTCCATGGTATAAGATAAGATTGCAATGTCTGTTCACTATGCTAACCAAGCTAAATGTTAGGAAACGTGCTGGGAGATGCACAGATCTCATACGTTTTATTTTTTTGTGTGTTTTTTTTTGTTTGTTTTTTTTAAAGTGTGCATCATTGTTGCTTGAACATGGGAGTCAGTGCCAGATTAAGAGCCCATTGGGCCTGGTGCTGACATTTATGGTAGGCCTAAAAATCTTATCGACAGAAAACACTAAAACCATTATACCTTCCTAGCGTCATGTATCTTTTGGAGGTGGTGCTAGAGGGAAACTCACAGGATATAGCTATCAGAAAACATACCCTATACCAGGGATAGGCAACCTATGGCACGTGTGCGCACTCTAGGCTGCCAGTGCCAAACACAGTCTGGCCTATCAGGAGTCCCAGTGAAACTTTAAATATCTGCAAATACGAAAAGGTGGTAAAGGTCAATCCTTAATTTATGCAATGCAGCACATAGAGGTAGTGATCTAAGATTACTTCCTCCCAGCACTTGTGAATGGGAATCCACACTGGAATAGAGCAGCCCCCAGCTGCTGTCACAGCTTCTGTCCTTGAGCTGTACTTGGCCAGCCAGGTCCCCACTGGAACCCAGGGAAGCCATCCACACTGCTAGATATACACAGAGATGCAGAATAACTACAAATAATATGAACAGCCCACCCACAAACGTACATACAATCCGCACAAATGCAACACCACGAACAATCCACATACATTCAAACAACCCCACATGCAAGCTCTTACATACAATACCCCAAACAGCCCCACACATACACACCACCAAACACACTATGTGACATTTCCATCCACACATACAATTCCACAAGCAGCCCCATACACAGCCCACATTCATAGGTATCATACCTGATGCCACAAACTGCTCATGAACATGTACAATCTAATAGCTCATATACGCACAAATACAACGATACAAAGCAACTGCAGTATAAATAACACAAGCAGGACACAGCAACATACACACCTCAATTTAAAAAAAATAGGACAGGTACGCTACGGGACATCACAATCTTATTTTGGCACAGTGCTGCTAAAAGGTTGGTTGCCTACCCCTGCCCTATGCTAATCTCTTGCTTTCATCTTTCAAGTAAATCCATACCTCCTAACAGCAGTGTCCGGTGACGGTGAAGTAGGATTTCACTGGGCAGGGTAAAAGGGTGGACCACTGATGTGAATCACATAACCAGAACCGCCCAAAGGAACAAACGTGCCCAAAAAAATCTGCCCGAGAAATTAGGCCAGTCTGGCGTGAATGCATGTCAGGCTGCCTGCTAATCATGCAGGATGACCAACTATGGGCATACTAGCAGGCTGAAGGTTCTGTTATACAGTCTGGGACAGAGAAAAGGTGTTTGTAGTGAATGTAGAAGAAAGTGAACATGCCACAGAGTTAGAGAGACTGAAAGAGCAAGAGCATTTGCATAGTACACAAAGTCAGCTTTACCTCAACTAATTTCAGTGTCAGCCAGTCCACACAAGTTTTGTTTCCCTACATCAATATGTGAAGAGTAGTAAACTAAATTTATATTTAAAAAAAAAAAAATTCAATGGGCCTATACCATGGTCATGGGCACAAGCTTGGAGCTGCAGCTTTATCAGCCCCTGATGGGAGCTGTTGTGATTTACTGAACTGGCCAGTACCTTGTAGCCTCCAGTAACCCTGATTGGTTAATTTGCCAAACTTTTGTAAATATTTTTCTTGGCAATTTCTATTGTGAGACTTTGTCAGTGCAACGTTGAGAAGTACATTTGCATTGAGTGAGCGTCATGCAAACATCACTGTAGGTCACTGATGTAGATACATATGTTATAGTTGTAGCATGTCATAAAAACAATCAGAAAACAATGACAATTAAACTTTCAGCTCTATGTATGTTCATGTGAGGTGGAACTATATTAATATCAGAACCTGTGCCATGTAGTACTATCCAGAAGAGGAAAAATCTAAAATAATCAATAAATCAAAGAACTGTTTATTTTTATCTCTATTCTCCAACTGATTGTATATAACTTGTGAGATAAACACCATACAGTGTCTGCCCCCTGTTATAACGTGCATCTAGTCATTGGTTTCTGCATTGGTGCAATCTTGAAACTAGTTATCATAGAAGGAATCCATATATGAACATATCAAGTAATCTGGCAGTTTTTCTGTGATAGGCACTGCCAGAACTCTGAGAAACCTGGCAGCGAGGTTGTAACATGCTCCATTGATCCAAGAGAGGGAGATGGAGATAAGTTTGACTGTCCCATAAGAAACAAACAGGTTTGTTTTAGGTTTTTTTTAAAGTTTTTTTCCTCCTTTTTTTTTCAGCTGCCCATTAAGCAATCAGTTATGTAGTTACCTAGCTGAAAAGAGACGTGTCCATCAAGTTAAAACTTACTCACATTTTTTGCTGTTGATCCAAAAGAAGGTAAAAAAAAATAGTCTAAAGCACTTCCAATTGTGTAACAAACCAGCATGGCAGTCATATCTCCTTGGATCAAGAAGCTGTTACCCCATTAATTAAAAATTATGTCCCTGTATTTTATGTTTTTTGCAAGTATTTACCCAATTGCTATTTAAACATCTGTATAGACTTCTTTAAAACCACATCTTCAGGCAGAGTATTCCACATTCTTATTGTTCTTACTGTAAAAAAAAAACTAAAAAAACTTTCCTTTGCCTTAGACTAAATCTTTTTTTCTTCCAGTCTAAACGCATGGCCTCGTGTCCTATGTATAGTCCTATTTATGAATATATTTCCACACAATGGTTTGTATTGGCTCTGAATATATCTGTATAATGCTATCATATATTTATACTCAACACTACCTTACTGGCCATGTTCATGTTTTTTTCACTCACTGGACTTAGAAACACTCCACTGCCCAAATTTTTTTTTTAAAAAGAATAGTAGATATACGCCAAAATGGAAACATGCATGCATTTGAGAAAGCATTTTTTGTATTTGGGATATATGTAAAAATAGTTTGCAGAAACATAGTTATCTTATCAGAAGTCATTACAAGCCCTCCTCCTCTTATCCTGTCCAGACTTTCTGTGGCTATCCAATCACAGACTTTAGCTCAACGAGACATCTTTGCAGGGCAGGTGCCCTGGGCAATTTCTTGCCTCTTATGTGTAGGTCCACTGAGCTAAGCAACCAGAAAGTTACAAGACCTGTTGTCTGATTAGCAGACAGACCAATGGGTGTAACAATGTTCATTTAGAAAAGTGTAACTTTCTATTGAAATCCGAAAAAAAGGACAAACTCTTCACACAAAGTACTTCTGCAAGCTGTAGTGCCTTATGGGTCTGGAATGTCCCTTTAAACCCCAATACCAGTATTTTTTCTGTAAGTTACTCTCAAAATTATATGTTGAGGTTTTAAACCTTTAAAAACAAATAAATAAAAAACAGATAAAAGACTGGATTAAGGCACAGTATGTAGAATGATTATACACATACATTTAATTATATACATATATAGATACTGGAATACTGCACAGTGTGTAGACCGCTTCCTCGACCTGACATGTCCAGCGGAGTTTATTGTTTGGGTTTATAGAGTGGAGCAATGAGGGTGTTCTGTACCGGCTGAAGATTCTCTTGTAAAATGCTGCTTCACTACGATCGCTGACAGATGAGAAAATCTTTCGGAAGATACATTTTCAATACGTGGGCTCTAATTAAATATGTAATGCTGCTTTCCATTTTGATACAAACTTTGCTTAGCTTCTTGGGTAGCTGTTTGGGCAAGGTAATACAGTTTAGATAGTGGTCTCTTGTCCTCAATATGTCCTCAAAGGCAGCAAGTTTTCTAGGTTGCCATTCGGGGATGACCAGCTGAGCGTCTCAGACCATGTAGGTTCTCTGTCCCTCATTTAACCAGAGAGGGTTAGGAGCTTATTATTAACTGAGAGATGAAAGAGTACTATGTGCTTTGGCTAGCAGTGGTGTTAGTGGTCTCCCTGGTAAATGTCCCACCATTGTCCTACACCCTCCA